TCAATTTCCATTTTGTTTTTTAATTGCTAAGTTCATTTTGTTTTCATTTAACAACACTAAACATTTTTGTTTTAATTTTTATTTTCTTGGGTTTTCTAATATTGTAGAGCTGTCACTCAATATTTTCTCTCGTCTGTAAATCGAATGCTTACAACAACTCGCTTACGTTAAAGTCTTGCTATACGTACGAAAAAGTTCTGTAGAATTCTCAATATATATTTATATATAATTTATATTCTGGTTTGTTTTCGGTTTTCAATATTTGCCCATAATGTTTTTGTTGCTCTTGTAAATAGTTCATATCAACCTTTAATTTGCATCAAAATGTTTTATTTATTTATTGTGTGTCTGCTCTAGATGCAGGATGAGGGCGCGGCTATGGTGGCCGGCGTCACGGTGATTGTGGTGGCTGGCAGGGCGGCCACTGTGGTTGCCACCACCGGGTAATGGTGACCCACAAAGGCGTGCTGCTGATGATGATGGTGGATCAGGCCGTGATGCTGATGCTGCTGCTGCTGCTGGTGTTGTTGCTGTTGTTGCTGCTGCTGTTGCTGGGGTGTTGCTGTGTACTTAAGTACATGTTGCTGCGGCAGCGAGATGAACGGCGCTGCCTGTATCGGTATGCAGTTGGCATTGTAGTCGCTGCTCAGCACCAGAGTGGGCGTGGCGTCGGTATAATAGGCCGGCGCCTTCAGAAATGCGGCTGCTGGTGCTGCAGCGGCAGCGGCAGCATACTGCTGCTGCGGTGTCGGCATTGTTGCTGTCGATGTGGTGGACAGCGTAGTGGCCGACGATAGCGTGGGCGATGTGGCTATCGAGCACGACGACGATGAGGAGGCCGACGAGGGGGAGTACGGTGAGCTGCAGTGATAGGTGATGTGTTGCTGTTGTTGGTGTTGTTGATAGATGTTGCTGGCGTGGTGTGCGACAGCTGCTTTGTTCGAGTTGCTGTGATAGTAGTTGGTGTTGTAATTGTATTGCTGCTGCTGTTGTTGCTGCTGTTGTTGTTGCTGTTGTTGTTGCTGCTGATGTGGCTCAATGATGATCAAGTTGTTGTTGCTGCTGTTGTAGCCGGCAGCAACTGCTGCAGCTGTTGTTGTTGCCACCGCCGCCTGCTGCTGGTGCTGCTCACTGGGATTGGTGATCATGGCAGCCATTATGTTGGCCGGCGGCAAGACAATCGGTATGTGATAGTATTTACATTGCTTGCGACGGCACTGGCTGTTGGCATGATCCCGACAGACAGCAACACGTTGATCAATCACCTCGACCTTGTCATCTATACAGAGAGAGTAGAGTAGAGTAGAGAGAGAGAGAGGGAGAGAGAGAGCGGAGCGTGGGAATAGAAAAAAATACATTGATTAGTAAACGAAGATCAAGTGTAAATTTCATTGATTTATTATTGATAAACAGTGAAAGCAATTATAAAAATAATTGTTTTGATTTTTGATTTTGACTTTTGAATTCTTGTGAAACTTGAAAGCACAAAGGTGTTATTGGTTACGCTTCTTCTTGAGCTAATCGTGAGTAATAAATATGTAGCGTTTATTCAGATTTGATTTTGGTGCAAATGAAAACGGACTTGAGGAGTTGAGTTGAGTTTGGATTTCTGAACTAGAAGAGAGTCCTACTTCGGCTAGAGTTACATACGTTATATAAATTGTATGTAAACAGAAACATGTAGAACGAAACACATCCAATTCATGTGGTTAGATTTTTATTTGCGTGTATTTTTGTGTGTGTAATTTCTTGGAATCTTGATAGAACCTAAAAGGGAAACAAATCAAAACAAAACTGAGAACGGGTAGATCAAATTAAAGTGTCGCCAATTGAGCTAAAAAAAAAAATATATATATAGAGAATTAAGTAATTGTATTTGGTATTTGTCTCTCAGCTACAGAACGTAAAAAATAAAGTTTTTTTTTATGGTTTTTCCACTATAAGAAAAGCATTAAAAGCAACGCAAGAACTAAACGCTAGAACTAAAATTAAAGGTGCTACAAACTAAGAACTGAAAAGGGAAAAACTTAAGCACATGCACTTACCTTCAGTTAAATGAACGAATCTACAATTTAACCGACTGCACATAGATCTATTAAAATCTTGGCACACCGGGAGGGTGTCCAGTAACTATATATAGATTTTGTATGAGAAGATTTGATTTCATTTTTTTTTGGAGTTATGGCAGGATGCAAACGTAGTAAACAAACCAATTGACAAAATAATAATTAAATTTTTTTTGTTTGAATTGTTCAGTGTAATTTGATTATTTTTTTTTTATCATATTTTTTTTATATATATTTTTTTTTTTTGGGATTTTCGTTTGAAAAAAAGAGAAGAGCAGAAAAAGAAAAGAAAAAGAGCACAAATTAGTTATATTCTTATAATAATTATATGATACACTAGAATTGTTAATGGTTGGTTAGATTAATTACGCTTTGAGTACATTTTCTTTTTGTTGTTGTTTTTTCTTCTTTTTTTTCATTTTTTTCGATTGTCAATGTTAGTCGCTGTTTGATACATAATAGATACCATGTTTCATGATAGATATACATTAGTTCGTATGTTAAACTAGTTTCTCACTTAAATAATCTTAAAGGCAAATAGGAGAATAAATTATAAAATGGCGGCGCAAATGAATTTAAAAACTCTTTTTGTTTTGTTGTTGTTTTCTTTCAAGTGTCTTGCGTATGAGTCCTGAGGTATGAGACGCAGCTATATAAGTATGTGTGTGTTCGATAGTTTTCGGTGTTCGATGTTAATGCTAATATAAATATATATATAAAAAAAGTTGGTCTTTTAACAAAAATTAGTGTTTTTGCTTGATTTTGGAAAAACTTAAATGCTAAGCTTAAAAATAAAGTTTTGCCACAAAAGCTTTAAGTCGAACTTAAGGAAATCTAGAAATCAATGTAGAAATGAAACACCTTTAAAGCAGCAAGTATTGGATAACTAAAACTTAGCTTTTGATATAGCCAAACTGTTTATGGATAAGCCAAGAAGCTTTTAAGCACAGCATAGACATAGAGACAGATAGAGCGAAAGAGGGGAGAGAGAGAGAGAGAGACAGGGTGGGAGAGCGAGAAAGAGCTTTTAGGTCTGTAACACTCACTTTTTGATAAGGTTTAGAACGCGCCTTAGTTACGATAGATATATAGATTTCTATATATGTATGTGTTAACGACATATGCATTATACAGAAAAAGAGATTATTCATTTTGATTGTTTGCTTAAGTTCTAGTGGGCTGAATTATGCAGTAACAGTTACATATCCTAATAGGCGGCACTAGAAATATAAGAAAAAAAGAGAGAAAAGAGAGAGAGAGAGAGAGAACGTAATACATACGCAATGTTAATTTGTATAACATTATAAAAGTGGCCTGTGTTTTATGTTTTCGTTGAAATAATTAACAAATTTGTTTTTCATTTATTTTTAATTTTTGTTTGTAAGGATAAAAAGAAACAAAAACGAGAACAGAAAATGAAAACGAAAAACCAAATTATAAATTTGGCTTTGAATAGCGCGCACAAAAGCTGCTAAGCTGAACAGAATATCGAAAGCTTGAAAGCTGCAACACAATTATTGCGATCGCCTTGAAAGCGCATTAAAGCTTAAAGCTCATTCTGCAGAGGTTGCAATACTATTGGATGAGTATTGAGTATGTTATATCAAAAGTGTTGCAAAGCACACAAATTTGTATTTTATTTGATTTCTGGTGACACACAAATTAACAAAGAGCAAGAGTGAGACAAACAGAGACAGAGAGAGAGAGAGAGAGAGAGAGAGATAGAGATAGAGAGATAGGGGTACTTGGGAGAGTATCGCTGTAAGCATATTGAATGTAAATAATGTTTAAATTCTGGCCGCTCTTTACCTAATTATGTAAAATGTGCCATTCATTAGCATTGGACACTGAGTGTATAAAACGCCCCGTTCCGGCTGGGCTGTTGTATGAGTATCAAATAGAGAGAATATTGATAACGGATTAGCTTGGCATTGTCTATAAGGTTTTATACAGTTTTATTTGCTATTGTTTTCATTGGTTTCTTTTTTATTTTATTTTCAATTTGGCAAATATTGACGACAGGTGGTAGATATGTGTGTGTCTGTGTGTGTGTGTGTTTGGGTGTGTGTGTGTGTGTGTGTGTGGGCGTGGCGTATTGGGTCAGACAGTTGTGCAAACAGCTGCTAACAGCTACGACACACTCAAAGGTGTGTCCATGTCAGCGCGCTGACATCATCGTCGACAACGTTGGCAACGCCTTCAAAATGGCCGTCGACACTTTGTTCGTCGTTCCCGTTATTGTTGTTGCTGTCGTTGTTGTTGCTGTTGCTGTTGCTGTTGTCTTTATGGTCTGGCTGTTGTCGTCGCTGTCCCCTGCTGTCCCTTGGGGCGCGGCAGCGCATTTAATTTGATTAACCCAATTCACGCAGCCAGTGTGTTGAGATGTGTAGCACAGTAGCCGACATAAACACTATTCTTGGTATAGGTATGTATATTTGCAGGTCGTTATATAGATATGTTTATATATATATATAATAGTTGCTTAATTGCTAAGATGCTTTCTCATCGGACAGGTGGGGCACCGGGATTTCGGCAAGCCGTAAAATAGTTTCAAAGTTCTCTTACTTATTATTTAAATATGACAATTTCGCGGATTATTAAACACTTGCTGCTCTAATTGTGTTTGTATTTCTAGTTGATTACATAAACATAAAATACAATTGAATATTTTAATTTAGTCTGGGCATTGGTTGTAGGTGTGTGTGTGTGTGTGTTGTCTTTACAGAAACAAAACTTAAAACTAATATAAAGAAAGAGCGAGAGTGAGAGAAATTAAATTAAATGTCAAGTGTTAGCATTAACAGCCGCTTAACATGCTGCCAACAGGCTGTTAGCCAGCCCAAGGCGGCGACTGTACCTGGCCGCTGGCATCGGTATAGATAACACAGGAAGCATTTAGTGGCGGTATTTTAGTGTTTGCTATAATTATCGATAGTCACAAAGCCGGCAAAACATGCAGTTTGCATTTGTTGGTGTTTCAATTAGAGAGAGAGAGAGAGAAAAAATAATAGATATATGTATATATGTATATATTTATGTGTGAGGTGATTAGAGCCAGAGCCAGAGAATGAAGCGTAGAAGAATGTGATTGTTTATTGTTCGGTTGGTTTGTTTGTTTGTTGTTTTTGCAGTTCGGCATCCATTCAGCATTTGGCAGGTGTGTGAGTGTGTGTTGGTGTTTTCGTGTGTGTGAATATGCGAGTACATTTGGTTGGTTTCGTTATTTGGTTGCATTTTGCCATTTGAAATTCCAATCCGTGCGAGTCGTTCAAAATATATATTTAAATTGATTGCATGCAAATTGTTGAGTAAGTTTTTTTTTTTGTTGGTTGTTATATAATTGAACGCGTATGTGTTAGCATGTAAAAGGAAAAAAAATGTATATATATGAAATTAGTAGAAAAAAGAAATTATGAGAGCACATATGCAATAATCATAGAGTCGAGAGTTCGAATTAAATTTGCAATTGGTTTGCTTTCAATATTCATTGGGCAGAGGCTTAAATTAAGCTTAAGCTGCATTTGCGGTTCAGCAGAATTTTTCGTGTTGTGGCAATTAGTTGATAATTATGGCGCATATTTTATTGAACATTCCAATCGAAATATGAGTTAAACTGAATAGAAAATAATAAATTTAATTGAAATGAGTTTCATTTGAAATAACTACATATATATGATCGGCATATATTTCATATAAATAATCCCTATACATTCCACTGATGATTACATCATATATACATATACATCCAATCCGTTTCTAAACTGGACCCAGCTGCAACCAGCTTATATCCAATTTAACACTCAGCTGCGCCTTAATTACTTGTGAATTTTCATTTTATGCAAATTCAACAGGCACACAAAAACCCGAGTTAATAAATGTAAATTAATGCCAAGCCTTTCATGTGCAACTTTCTTTTTTCCTGCCATTAAACTTCTCTTGACTTGTTGCTACATTTAAAAGTTTTGCCAAACACCGAGGGAAAAAAAAATATGTATATAAAAAATGCTGCTGCAACGCATATGCAAAATGGCGAAACGCACTTAAAACTAGAATAAATTAGTAAAAATTTAATTTAAGCATAATTATATTTTTGTCAAAGTTTGTGAGGCTTAAGCGAGTTAGTTAGTCTAAGTATTAAGCAGAAGCTGTAAAATAAAAGTAAAATTTTATCAAAAATATAAAATGTAAAATCAATGTAATCAAGCGCGCGCTAAAGCATTAAGGGGGCTGCAACTGAAACAAGAGAGATGAAATTATAATATATAATTTTAAAATAATAATAAGGAAACAATAAAAAAAACAGCAGGCGGCAGCAAAAATTGTGTATTTGAAGCGCATTTAAAAATGTTTGTTACTGGCGCAGCGGCTGTAATTAAAAAACAAACAGACAATTTAAATACTCATATAGTCGATATGTATATATATATATATTTAAAGAGCTATCAATTATGTATATATATGTAGAGGCAGTTAGTTAGGACTCTCTGACAAGAGACAGGCACACACAGAGAAACGTAAAATATAAATAAACAACTTTAACGGTAATGCGAATACTTACTACATTAAGTACATACAAACAAGCCTGCAAGAGTCGATCAAATATAAGTACAGATATATATATGTACATCATATATATATATATATCATATGTGTGCGTGTGGGTGTGTGTGTGGATGTGTGAGTGTGCTACAATTTTGGCGTATACTCAATATCCAGAACGAGTCGTAATTGAAGCAACAGTTAAAACGCATCGGATGAGCAGCTCAGTTGAGTCTGTGTGGTGTGTGTGTGGGTGTATGTGTGTGGGTGTTGGTCTATGTATGTGTGTGTTTATCAATTAAATTTAGTTTACAAAGCTTTTGAATTTGCCTGCAAGCATATATTGTTTTTTTTTTCTTGTAATATGACAGCTCTGTGTTGTTGTTGTTGTTGTTGTTTTCGTTGTTGTTGTGTGTGCATGTATTTTGTTTGTTTCGATTTGATCAGCATACAGTCATACAATAATACTTTCGTAATCCATGAAAAAGAAAAGAGTCATGTTAATAACATTGCTTGCAACGGGCTTTACCACAAAACTTAACATATGTAATTTAACAGCCAAGGAGATCAGAATGAGAGGGAGAGAGCGAGAGAGAGTCTGACTGAATTAACTTTTAAAAATTCTGCAGTCTTTTAAGCTTTAAAGTGTTAAATGCAAAGAGCAAATTTAACAGCAATATTTTAACATAATTTAATACAACATAATCTAATTTTTAGAATTCATCTCTCTCTTTCCCTCTCTCTGATGTCTTAGGTGTTTAAGCATTTGTGAACTAAAAATAAAGCTAAAAACGTAAAAAGAGAAACATTATATCTAGTAAAGTTACTAATTACTAATTAAATGTTTTGAATAATATCATATACATACGTTCAAGTATAATAAAGAAGCTCATTGGGCAGTGCACCAGCTTACCTTAGAAGTGCGATTGTTTTTATTTATTTATTTTTTTTTAGCTTTTTTTTTTTTGTTTTTGTTTTGAGTATTGTAGCTCAGTTACCATCATACCACATGCCTGAGAAGCCGAAATACGAGTATAGTAAATAAACGTAATGCGTATTTAGCGGGTACTTCGAAAGTTTCAATCACAGTTAGCATGAGAGTGACAGCCACTTGCAACACTGGACTTCAAATTTGTTGTTGGCGATACGGATTTGATTCGTTTCTGATATTTGATTTTGTACTTGCTACGAAAAGTTCTTGTTTCATTGAGCACATGCTGAAAAATTACAATACGATACGCTCCAAAAAGAAAAACAAAAGAAGAAGAAGAAGGAAAATACGAACAAATAATAACGAATATTCAGCAAATATGAGAGAGGTACAGAAAGAGAGAGTTACGTAACATATAGAGGAGAAACGTACTTCCCACTATGGAAGGAGTATTTATATATATAGATGTATATATATAAGAACAACCTGTACGAGTGTTGCGTGTAACAGCAAAAGAGAGACAGAGAGATAGAGAGAGAGTGAGAGCGAGAGTGTGGGGACATTGAAAAGATTACTGCATTGTGTGAGTGTTTGTGTGTGTGTTTGGAAACTCGCTGGAAACTTTTGTAATGCATTCAAAGAAATTCGAAAATTTACAACTGCTTATCGAAGAATAAAAAATGTTATTATTCAGACTCAATTTATATATTTTTCAATTTGATGTACAGAAACATGCAAGAGCTGTGGATCAGATAGTCTACTAGTGTGTAAAGAGAGGGGAAGACGGAGACAGAGAACATTGGTGAGAGAATATTAGTTGTATTTGACAGAGAAAGAGACAGAGAAATATAAAGAGAGAGACTAAAATGGAAATTAAGACAAAGTGTAAAAGAGCACAAAATGTAGCAAAAACAAAAATTTTTAAATGTTTTTTTTTCTTTTTTTTCTTAAGCATTTCTTTGAAACATTACAAAAGCGCTTAACTCTAAAGAGTATAGATATATATGTATATATATATATAGGCAATTGTATATATATTATTGAATAGTATAATGCTTCCATACACATAAACTAGTTCTTAAGTTGTCATAAGCAATACAGTAATATTTTCAATTACAAACAGAAAGTACCAGCTCGAGCAAGCCATGTGTGGAGAACTGGAGTACTACGAGTACTATCTCGCTTGTGGGTGTAGGTGTGTATGTGGGGGTGTGTGTGTATGTTTCGATATTGAAATTAAGAGAGTCGAGCAGAGAGCACACATTGATAAACGCCCAATGAAAGGTTTTTCAGAAAGCTTTCAAATGAAGTTAGCAAAATCAAAAGGGAATCAAGGATAATTTTTTTAAGTTAACTTAAGAGCAAACAGTTATGTATACCAGCAAATCTAATTGTATTAATTAGCAAAATGATTACCAAATAAGTTTAGCTCAGAAATAAACTCATAATAAATAGCAAAATAGATATGGAAAATAATTTATAGTCAAGGACAACGCACAGTAAAAACTTCTTAGATTAATACAGTATGTGTATGTGTGAGCGTGTAAGTGTGTGTGTGAGAGAGAGAGAGACAGTCAGAGAGAAAGAGAAAATGTACGCAGAAGTATTAGTGTAAAGTTTTTGCCATTTAGCACTTTCCAGTTAACGAGAGTTAAGTAAAAGAAGCAACAAGTTTTTACGGTTTTTACAATAAAACGTTTATATAATTTTCAATATAATAAATTTTTGTTTTTTGTTTTGTTAATTTTTGCATTTTTGTTTTTGGTTTTTTGTATTAGTTTTCATTATTTTATAATAACGCATAGAGTTAATAAGACTAATTTTTGTGTGGATCTTGTTTTTGTTGTTTAATAGCACATAGAACATATTCATTAAAGTGTTTGCTTGTATTGGTTGCTTTGTGTTTATGTAGTGTATAAGTTATATATATATAAGTATATAGTTTTTGTTTTCTTTTTTTAATTATCATAAAACAATTTCGTTTTGTTCAGTTTTCTCTTTGCTCAGAATACATGCATTAGTTAGTTAACTTAGATACACTGAAATTTCTCGCTTCGTCACTTTTTATTAATAAAATTTTCCGCTTTTTGGATCAAGTTTTCTAGTTTTTTGATAGATCTAAAAGTTAAGTCTGGTGAAATCAAAATGAGAAATGTACGAAACAAAAATGGCATCAGTTGCTGATGCGCCATACATTAGTGGAATAAAATGTTGTTAACTATGTTTTTCTTGTGTTGTATTTTTTTTTTTTTTTTTTTTATGTTATAATGTGGTGTACTTTACAAAAAGTGTGCTTCTCTTATCTACAAAATATAAGTTTAAAGTCTATTATCAATTGTGGCCGTGCGCAAACTACGCTACATGTTCTCTGTTCTGGTTTTTTTGGACGGTACTGTATTTAGTGGCTTTCTAAAATATTGAACTACATTTGGACTAGGCTCGTCGTAATCGCAATCAGAATTTTTGAAGACTGTACGGGAGCTGCAATAGCTCTCAAATGATTCCTATAAAAAACCGTGTGAGCTGCTGAACTGGCTCGCAAGCAGCCCAAAAAATGAATATATAAATTCAATACAAATTGTCGTCCAATCTTCGTTGTTATCTTATTGTTTGTTGCACTGTTAACTTGCTGTTAACTCGATGTCAATGTTAAGTATTGTGTTGAAGCGGTTTTTATCTATTAACTGGTGCAGTTGAATGTGAATTTAGAAGAAAGCAAAACACAAAAGTAAATCAAATGATATTCAGTATTATTTCTAATACCGGTTGCTGGAATGTCTGAGTAACAATGTATTACTCTTGCGCGCTTATAACATGCAGTGTTTGTTGAATGACTGTTTTCTCTTGTAATATTTTCGTTTTCAGAGATTTCTCTAAGTTTTCACATATTTTGTTTGGCCCAGAAGAGTGCCAAACAGCAACAATTCTACAATGTTAAACAAAAGGAAAAATGAAACATACGACAGCTAGAGAACTGGACATACATGGATTATTGTTAATATATGTAACATACTTTTAGCAAGACATAGATATATCGATAGTTTGTAATGTTATTTTATTTTTTATTTTTTTATTTTTTTTTTCAGTTTTCCATTGTTTGACGCATTTGCTGCATGTTAATTAATTTATTTTTTTTGTAATAAGCAAACTCTCTTATCAAGTATGTAGTATATATAGATATAGGTAGGTATATAAGTAGATAGTAAGCCTGCCACAAGTCAAGCAATAATATAATGTATGTATATATATAAGGTATGCGTATTGTTTTCAGATTTGTTACAGCTAGTTTCTACCGTTAGAACGAAATAGTATTTTGGTTAGCGTACTCAGTTTTGCTTGCCATTATATCTAAGAGCTAAACATAGAGAAACTTTACTAAATCTAAATTATTTTGTTTTTTAATTTATTTAATTTTTTAGTAGTAGTATTTGCTTTTTATTTTGTTGGGGCAATGAAATTAAGCAAAAAGATTGAAAGCATTTTACAGACAGTCAAGGCAGACAGAATGTATTTTTGGGTGGGTGGGGTAAAAGGTGTATGAAAGGTATTCGGCATAGGCTGAACGAAGCGAAACTTAGAAGGAGAAAGCTGGAAAAACGAGTGCTGCTCTGCCCAAAAGCGCGGCATGTGAAAATGCTTAGCGTGTGACATGTGGCATATGTGGCAAATGTGGCATATGTGGCATATGTGGCGTATGTGTCGATTGGGTGAGTTTTTCGAAAAGAAAACGGGAGCGTGTTCTGCTTAGAATTCGAATAGATATTTGTTGATAAATAAGTAATAGATACAAATATATATATATATATTTAAGTATATATAAAATGTGTGGAAAGCGGCACAACAGAAAGAGTAAAAAATAAATAAAATGAACAAGAGATAAGTGAATATACCAAAATAAATACCAACACACAATAAATTAAGTTTTTGTTTCTGTTTCGTAAGGTTCAAACTATATTTGAAATCAAACACACACGATATTTTGTTTGTTTTTGTAAAAAAAATCAACATTAATCAATGAACTATCGACAACTAAATATTAGAATTAGTGGCAAACATTAAAAATTGTCATTAAACATTAGAAATATTGTAAAGATTTAAACGAATTTTACAGAGATTATATAAGTATATATGTATGTATGTATAATTTTAGTCAATAATAATAATAATAATAATAATAATAGTCATAATAATAATAAGAGTTCGAATTTATCAACTTCAGTGGCTAACAACTTAAGGTGCGCAAGTCTGTGGCAATCATTTTTTTTTTTTTTTTTTTTTAATTTTTTTCATATTTTTTTTTTTCATATTTTTTTTGTAAGTATTTTCGTAATTCTAAACAGGGATAAAACACAGAAAAATATAGACTACATATTGAACTTGTATAATTGTCAGTACATAAATTATATAACGTAAACATTGAGGAAAAAACATAATAATTATGAAAAATCACACGAGATCTAAGATTAAAACATAGTTCAGTTGTCATTGAATTTATTAATTTTTTATAAACATACATCATGTATACATAGCGTGTATGTAAATTGTTGAAATATATCAAAGAAATATGTATAATACATCGAGAGCAAGATACAGTTAGATAGATAGAGATAGATAGTGAGTGAGAGAGAAATATGTATATAGGAAAAACGAAAAGTTTACATAGTTTGTTTTTCATTATTCTCTTTTAATTGTCAACATAGGAGTCAAATCTTGAACATAACATTAACATAACATAACATAACATAACATAATTTTGATGGCTTAACATTTTTAAAGATGATTTCAGGTGTGACAATGTCTGTGTGTGTGTGAATGTATGGGTGTGGGTGGATGTGTGTATCGCAAAGAGAGAGAGAGCGATCGATGATGAATTAAGATATTGACTTTCAATTGGTTTATTGATTAGTAAGAGCGCTTTATAGCTAGCATGTACGATAATGCGTGTGTGTGTGGGTGTGTGTATGGGTGTATGACGGCTAAACGATATACAGTTCGAACTTCGTTATGTTCTAAAGAGTGTGGATCGGGTGTTCAGGTATGGGAATTTTCGGATCTTGTGAGTGTTTGTGCTAGAGTACATTGTGTTGATGTTCATATAACGTATATATAGATATATTTAAGTATATGTATATATTAGCAGCATACAGCATTTATAGTATTTATGTATATATAATAGGTATATTTCTATAACTAGGCAATATTCGTTACGCATGTTCGTTGCTCAACAATTTGAAACAATTAAAATTACAACAGCATTCACGAAAGCTAACTAACTAGCTAACTGTTTATAGGTAGAAGAGGCAGCTAGAGAGAGAGAGAGAGCAACTGATTGAGCTAGTGAGAGTGGGAGAGTGACAGAGTCAGAAATACAGAGAGAGACAGAGAGAGTGACACAAAAGAGAGGTAGAGAGCATTTGAAACAATTTGTTTGGCATTAAAGCTTTCGCAGACCAACAACATGCGCAGACACAACTGTACCCAGCAGCAGCATCTACCTGGAGGATTTCTCTTTTTATATGGCATTATTGATAGGAACGATTAACTGACTCGCATTCCAGGGCAAGGTGTGTGAAGCTTTCTTTTTTACTGTGTGCGTGTGTGGTTGGTTGTATGTGTGCGTGTTTGTGTGCATGTGCAAAGCTATCACAGTACTTCGTTATACCAAGTTGCAGTTACCGTTACCAATTCCATTTCCGTTTCCGTTTCCGTTACCGATTCTATTTATATTTTGAACGCTCATTTTAAGGCTATCAAAAAGGAACTTAACTTAAAAGACTACGTATTGAAAAGGCTGTTTTGTATGTTCTTGCTTTAAAAGCTTCGTTCTTATTTAGACTATGCTATGCTACGAAAATGGCAACAGCTCAAGTCACAGTGAGGTTATGTTTTGTTGCGTCTAATTTAAAATAATAAACTTGATATCATAAACAATCTAAGGAAAGTTTAGCCTGCATGCTCGAGCATTCTGTGTGTGGGTGTTAGCGGGGCAAGAGGATCGCTTCGAGGGCAAGCTTTTACAGCGTATTAGACTTTATGAAAGCTCATTGAAAGTGCGCGAAAGCTTTTAGATTCCCTTAGCTTGAGTTCAAGTGTATTGCAAAAGCTGTGGATGCCTAAGCTTTAAGCAGCTTTACGCACATTCAGGCAACATCCTTAGATTCTGTGTGTGTGTGTGTGTGTGTATTTCAGATTTGTCATGGTGCAATTTGATTTAGAATACAAAAAGGGACGCCTTTTGACACTCTAAATATAATGCTATGCTATTACGAGACCTAGTGTATAAATTAAGTTAAAACTGAGGCACATAATCTTACGTCTTCGATGTGTACTACGTACTAAATAGTTACTGCTACAAATAACTGGACCAACACGTTCATTAAGTACAGTTGCGTTCGAGTCTCTGTGTGTTTGTGTGGGTGTGGGTGTGTATGTGTATGCGTGTGAGTAGTGACTGCCTACTTAGGAGGTCTTCATCTTCTTGTAGGGATTAAGAACCATGGCCGTGCCAGGGGCTGCGCCCTGGGCAGCTGCTGCTGCGGCCGCTGCTGCTGCATATTGCTGAGCGGCGGCGGCTGCTTGACTGCTGGGCATGGCATAGGCATAGCCGCTGCCAGCAGCCGTGGGCGTGGCAGCCATAACGCCCGGATAGAAGTAGCCCTGGGCAGCAGCTGCTGCGGCATACTGCTGCGGACTGGCCGCCATTGGCATGGGGGCCGCAGCGCTCGGTGCACGGAGCAGCGCAGCCGAGGCGCCGGGCAAGTAGCCAGCGGCTGAGGGTGCGCGCACCGGGGTGCCGGGTGCCACGGGCGTGGACAGCCCAGAGCTGGGCAGGGAGCCGTACTGACGTAACTGCGCCTGAGCTTGGGCCTGGGCCTGGGCCTGAGCCTGGGCTTGAGCCTGCACTTGGGCCTGAGCCTGCGCCTGCATTTGCAGCAGCGTTGCCATGGACACTGGCTGAGCCTGTTGCTGCTGGGGCTGGGGCACGGGCTGCGGTGGCGCCGCAGCTGAAACGAAGCTCTTGTTGAGCGTCATGCCGGTGTAGGCAGCTGCCGAGGCAGCAGAGACGGGCTTGGCCGCCGCATTGGCCACCTTCAGGGCGTAGTTCTTCTGGGCCACCTCCTTGGCCAATGCAGCGGGATCGGCATAGTAGCCGGCAGCTGGACTGAGACCAGCGGCTGCGGCATAGGCGGCATACGCCTGCTGAGCATAGGCAGCCTGAGCCTGAGCTTGAGCTTGAGCCTGAGCCTGAGCCTGGGCTTGCACCTGGGCAACCTGTTGCTGCTGGTGTTGCTGGTGCTGTTGCTGCTGCTGCTGCTGTTGCTGTTGCTGATGTGCCTGCACATAGCTGTTCTGCACCGAGCCGCTGGCCATGCTGACAATGGGCGTGGCACTCGAATAGCCGCTATACAAATTGGCATAGCTATAGGCGGGCATGGCATAGCTGATGCGCTGATACTGCTGCACCGCCGGAGCCACCGATGCTGGGCAACTGTTGCTGCCGTTGCTCACATTGCTGCTGCTGGTGGTGCTGGTGGGCGTGGGCAGAATGCCGCTGCTGTGGCCATTGTGATAGCGCTGATAGGCATCGCTGCCATTCTGCTTGGGCGCATAGCTGCGCTGAGGCGGCGCCTGGATGTAGGCGGGCGGAGCGGAAATGGAAATGGAATCGGTATCGACTGTTGCTGCTGCTGCTGTTGCTGCTGTGTTGGCGGCAACTGTTGCTGCTGCTGTGCCATTGTCTGCCTCATTGGGCAGCTCGTCGCCATTCAATGATTTATTCAAATTGTTGTTAATATATGACAAATAGTTGTTATTATCGCCATTGGCCAGGGTCAAGGGTTCAAGTGCTGTCTCTGTGTTGGGGGGGCTAGAGCTGCCGTTAGTTGTTGCTGCTGTGTCAGTTGTTGTTGTTGCAGCAGCTTCTGCTGCTGCAGCTGTTGTTGTTGCTGTTTTTGTTGTATCATTAGCTGTATCAGTGTCTGCTGCTGTTGTTGTAATTGTTTGTGTTGTATTACAATCGTTAGCAGTGTTTGTTGTGGCTGTTGTTGTTGTGTTGGTTTGTGCTGTTGTTGTTGTTGTTGTGTCATTATTTTCTTGATCATGATTTGCATCAGAATCATTAGCTAGCGCTTGGTTATCATGATTATTAATATGATTAGTAGCTGTTGTTGTTGTTGTTTGTGTTGGTGTTGGTGTTGGTGTTGATGTGGCTGTATTTGTGTTTGTGATTGTGTTTGTGTTTGTATTGGTATTGGTATTGGTAGTCATAGCAGTTACAGTTACAGCATTATTATTATTATTACTGGCTGTTGTTGCTGCTGTTGTTGTAGTTGTTGTTGTTATGGCGCTACATATTGGTTGTTGTTGTTGTTGTTGTTGATGTTGTTGTTGTTGTGGGGGATACTCACATGACACTGGCACGTAGGGCTGCATTAATTGTTGATAGGTTGTCGCACCGGGTTGATACACTGGAATGCCAGACTTTTCGGCAGCTGGACGTTTAAACGGTACCATGCCAGAGAATTGCTATTGCGAAAAGAGACAGCGAGAGAGCAGACGGGGAAGAGAACATGAAATATAAAAAATCAATTAGTACAAAAATTGTCAATTATTCAACAAATTCAATTTCAACTTAAACTAATTGCACTCTAACCATACATATTGAGTAATAATATTATTATATATATATGTTGTTTACATAAATAGCTTACAAACGAGCTCAACTGGGAATTTTAATTAGTTATTACAACTTTTATTTTCAATTTTTTTTTTTTCGATTTTCCACTCAATTTTTCTCAAACTTTTGCCAATGTGTTTAAATAATAAATAATCATATGTCCAATAATAAACCAAAAAACTATTCAGATCGAATAAAAAAACCAGGAATAATACCAAAAAGAAAAAAAAAAGCATTTAACTGAGCAGAAATTGTTCGTAAACGTTTAGCGTGCATTTTACCAAGGGCGAAAGCTTTTAATGTGCTTCGCATAAAAAGCTACAAAAAGCTTTGCTCAGCCAGCGATTAAAGCAATTGTGTGAAATGTGAAAGTTATTGTATTATATGTGTGGAATATTGCCGCAGCAGAGGACAGCTGAGTTCATTTCAATTTTGTTGATCTGGCACTCAAATTGTCGATTCATTATCTAATTAATCTCTTTAGCTGACCCATGCTGAAACCAATTTTGATTACCGATTTGACTCAGTTTATTATTTTTTTCGATTTTGTTTTCGTTTTTATTTATTTATTTCAGTTATTTTATGTGAATTTGTATTTTTGTGTAATTTTAATTTCTGTTCATGCACTTAGGTAGCCAATTTCTGTTTGTTTGTTTCTAGTATGCGTTAAGTATTGTTTAAATAAGCTGTGTTTCTTCAAAGTGACATCATAAATGATAATTAAGTTCAGAAAAAAAAATATTTTTTATTCTTTTGTTTCTACATTTCTCACAATACCTAATGCGATTTATATAAAACTGAAACTGAAGAAACATTTTCTTCATATGAGATTATTTTATTTATATTATTATATTTATATAATAATAAGTTAAATAAAATATTTTACAAATTTTAGCAACCACTTTTTATCAGCAGATCAGAAATTTATGATTAAGTGTCCAATTTATTCCATCTTTGCCATTCTCTTCGTTTGACAACATGGAACCCTTCTTATTAACTCATAAAAAAGTTTCATTCAGTGATCAGCTATATAACACCCTTCTTCTCTCACCACAGCTCTCTCTGGTCTCTCTGCCAAATCAGGATTTTATTTCAATTCTACTGTATAGAGCTGTTTGGCACAGCAGCTCAACAGCCCAGCAGCACTCTTTATATAGGTGTTCGTTTTCAGTTCCGTTTCGTTCCCTTCCTCACTTAGTAAAGTAGCTCTCATTTACTCATACACAAAAGCAAGCCTATGCAATATTCTGCTGGGCTCTCTACATATAATTTCTATTGTTTCTGTCTGTCTCAAAATTGTCTTTAAGCCTTCTTTCGCTTCGTGATCTATACTCTCCTTTAAATTAAATATAAATCTGATTATACTAAAGTAAATATTTCTTTGTTTAATTCAATCTTTTGAAATCTATAAGGTAATAAGGTATTATTCTTTGTCAGAATTGGTAACCAAAGCGAATCAATTAATTAAGTGAAAAGTTTTCTACAAATAATTGAATGATCGAATATGCTATCGAAATGATCGATCAATTTCCTGATTGATCGATAAATTCCTGCCCCTGCGCACTCGAAGAAACACAGCTTACGATGTAAGAATGTTAGTTATTGTATTTATATGTAGTTCATTATCATGTGGTGTATATATATATATTGTAGTATTGTGATAATACTGGATGGAGATAGTTGTTCATTTATTTGGTAAGTTACGTTTTCTTATTGGCTTTGGAGTACTTACGAAGTTTTCATAGTAAAATGAACCAACCGTTTTAACATCCATCTTTTTGGCAATTGTGCACATTTATGATCATTATTATTATTGTTGTTGTTATTATTATTGTTGTATATAATAATTGTGATGATATTTATCCATTATGAGCGCAATTCGGTATTAGTAATTGATTTTATTTGTTCATTTTGAATGATTAATTTGAATGATTCGCATTGTTGATTGATGCATTTGTAGTTGGTTGAATTTGTTTTTTGATTTGGGTTAGCAGACATTTTTGTTGTAGTTGCAGTTGTTGTTTGTTGTTGTTGTCAATTGATTGTTTTGTTTTTTGAATTGTTGGCAACAAGTAACATAGAGAGAGAGACACAGAAAACAAACGAAAGTCGAATCGAAAAAACAAACGAAGAAGAGAGAGAACACAAATGAAATTAGTGAATATATTCAGCATAAATATACAAAATACAAAAATGTTCATTAAGAGGTATTAGCGATAAGTTAAAGATATATATGTATATACATATATGCATACATATATATATATGTAAGTAAATACGTAGTCTAGCGTGATGTGAATGTGTGATAAATTAACCTAAATAATATAATAATACATACATGATACATGATACATACAAAATACATACAATTAGGCCAAGACTTAAGTTTTAAGTTACATATTTTTTTGTTTTTTAGCAAAATGCGCAAAAGCCAAGCAAAGTTGTTCGCATGTAAAGCTAATTAACCTGGAAAAGCACTTAGGCACTTAAACAATTAAGCTCGACGGCTGCGGCTGCTATGTAGCTGCAGCTGTAAATAAAGAGCGGAAGAGCTGTCGAACCAATCGAATCAGCGCCTAGCCAAACAGTTCGTCATGCAGGCAAATGCGAGTGAGTTGTGTTTCTTGTTGGGCAGGGTGAGGGGCGAGGACGTGTGCGTGGGCTGGGTCAATTAACAGTTAAACCATTTTAATTAACACTTGCCCAGGTAGTCTGTAAATGTGCGGCTGTATGGGTGTGTGTGTGTGTGTGATTGTGATTTATCATATACAACCCCTAATTGATGCCACATGTGGCACGCAACGCTGATTGCAAGCTGAAGCTGTCGCTACCAGCTCAACAAGCCAACACATGCATCTGTATTGATAAATTGATTAGCAATATGCATTTGTCTCCATCAATGTCTATGTGTCTGTGTGTGTGTGTGTGTGTCTGTCTGTGCGTGTTTGCTCTTTTGATATGCCAGATAATTACTTGGTTCTGCAAATTAAATGCTCGCCGCCTAACTGACTGAAAGACTTGACTGACTGACTCGCTGCTTGTAAACGCTAATTGATGGCTCTTCATAAGGCATGTGAAATTTGCGACTAAATAAGTGAATAAAGGAGTGATTGACTGAGTGAGTGAGTGAGTGGTGTGAGTGCAGCTATGTTAATGAGTGAGTGAGTTAATAGCTGAAAAGTTCGGCTGAGTGTTTGCTTATTGCAATGGCAGCGCTAAGAAGTTGCAAATTTTGCTACACTCAAATTTTGCCTAGCTTCAATTTTGTTCAATACTTTTGAGCTGATTTAAAAAATTAGGAAATAATACTTTTAAAAATATATAGTATACATCACATATTCTTTTTTTTTTTTTTTTTTAAAAATAGATTTTAAAATTAAAATGAATATTAATAAAATTAATAGGCAATGAAGGACTTTTCGCAGCTTAGTCACAAAGCTTGATTCTATTTTCGTTCTTCAAATTAGATTTTTCGAAATGTTTTGATTATGTTTTCTTGTGCATATTATATAAATTTATCAAGTATAATATTATATGATTTAAATTTTTGAGCAAATCTAGACTAAAAGTCGTTTATTTATTTTCTATTTATGATTGTATTTCGGGCATTGAAAAAAGCTTTCGCTACAAGTTGCCTAAGAAATTTGGATAAGAATTGCTGGAAAGTTTGAAGTAGTAGATATTTTTTAGGCCGTTTCATTGGCTTGACGATTTGAGAGTTTGATAAATAAAATTTTTAACTGTTTATCTAATCAATTGATGAGTTTATAATTGAAATTCTGAGTTATAATGAGCTTTAAGTGCATCAGCTATTTTTTCTAATTTTATTCCTAATATTTACTGAATGAAAAATGATAAATCTTTATTATCTGAATACTGTATTTTATTAATTTAATACAATAATTTAATTTTTTTTTTTATGAATTGCCATTAATAATTGATGTAAATATTTATGAAATGAATTATTTTCGGCGCAAAATTATGTAACGAAAAGCCAAGCAACTATTTGAATTCGCACTCTTTCAGTTGAGCTCTTTACAGCTGCCCTAGGTATATAAATTTGTTTTGTAGCGCACACTCGCAGCTTAAAATCATGCGATAGGAAACCAAATACACTTAACTAAATCAATTAAAAAAAAAAAAAAAAAAAAAAAAAATAGGAAACACGCAGGAAATTAAACAGTAACAGTAATTAAAATCAGAAATCAGAAATGGAACGCAAGGCAACAGAAAGAGAAACAGAAACAGAAATAGAACAAGGAACAGAAACAGAAACAATATATAAAAGAAAAGAACAGAGAGATGTGAAAGAAATTAAACAAAATACCAGTGGAAACATTTCAGGATCCGCTGACCGCTTCTTGCCCACTTCCAGTGTGTGATGACCCATAACAGCGGCGGCAGCGGCGGCGGCGGCAGCAGCAGCGGCAGCGGCAGCGTTGTTTGTTGTTGTTGTTGCTGTTGGTGTTGTTGTTGTTGCGCCAGCAGTGATGCCGCCGGCCGTGTGGATGGTGTTGTTGCTGTTGTTGTTGTTGCTGTTGCTATTGTTGCTGTTGTGGAGGTGGTTCTGCAGTTGCTGCTGATGCTGATTTAGTTGTTGGTGTGCCGTAAGAGGTGAGCTCTGTATTGCGTGAGTGTGTGTGTGTGTGTGCGAGTGTGTGTATACATATGTGTGTGTGTGTCAATTGAAGTGCATATTTCAAATTATAATCAAAGTAATTATGCCAAAAAATCAATTAAAAAATTGAATATAGAATATAATTTTGATCAAGCATTTAAATTATGCGTTCATTAATTATGAACAGATTCCATTTGAATTATTCAAGCGGCATTGGTGTTGGCATTTTTAATAAATATGCACAGATATTTAATTTTTTATTTTATTTTATTTTATATTATTTATTTTTATTTTTTTGCATTTTTTGAATAGTTTCAACGAATATTTTATTTGTTTGTTTTATTTTGGCATTGTGCATGTATATGTGTGAGTGTGCGTGTGTGTGTGTGTGTGTGTAGAGATATCATCCATCGTAGAAGCAATTACAGTGTGTGGCACAGGCGAACAGATGAAATACATAATAGTAGAAGAGTACGAGTGTTTTTTTCATGATAAGTAAAAATTATAGTTAAAAAGAAAAAACAATAAAATCAAATAGAATTTTTGTTTTCAGAAATATATAGTAGAATATAGTTGAGGCTAACTTAAATTTCAATTCAAAATCAGAAATTTTCCAATTTAAAGAAAATTCTTAAATTAAATGTGGAAAAAGAACAAATTGTTGAAACATTTTTTTCAATAATAAATATATATATATCAACCCATTTTGTTAATGAAGCAGAGTTAATAAAAAGCTCAGAAGCATATAGTTATAAATATAATGTATCATTATTCATAAATATCATTTATATGTTAGAGCTTGCATAAGCCAGCAGCGAAAGCTTTAATTGTTTTTGTTGACGAAACCCAGAGCACTTAATGATATTGGGAATAGATTCATAAATACCTAGTTATATGAGCTTAAGAGTTACCTTAAAAATAAATATTTATGTATATAAAATCAATTGCAACAAAATCATTTCGCTGTAAGCCAATATATATTTTGATAAATGTTTATTATAATTCCATCGAATCGTAATTCATTTATGAATTGTTTGCTAACCAAAAATTGATTTGAGTACAAACACACACACATTCGCATTAAGTCGCGCTGGAAGAGTATCGAAAATTACCTAATGCCGATATACCTACCGATGTATCGTTGCTGCTGCTGCTGCTTTAACTGATTCTCAACTAAAAACCATAAATAAATATTAAGGAAACTAAAGCAGAGAATTAAACGAAATGCTGCAGAAATTTGTTGTAGAGTGAAGCCCCTAGAGATCTCAGAGTTAATTCGCATAACACCGTCATTTACACAGCAGCTCGACAACATTTGGGTGCGCGTTTGTTTGTTTTTTTTTTTTTTTAGTCCTAGTGCCTAATAAACAAAACACACAGCAAAATGTATAAAACATAACGCAAGTTAACATGCTTTTTGGGGCTAACACACACACACACACACACTCGACTACTGCTCGACACGAAAAGTGCAAAAAAATTTGCATTTAAATGGAGTCGCAGCGGCAGAGGCATTCACGAATTTGTTGTTGTTGTTGCTGTTGGTTTGGAGCATGTTCTCTCTCTGTGTGTGTGCTTTTTTCTATTCTTTTTTTTTTAGCATGTTTGGCTAGGCACACGTAGCTCAGGTTGTGCCAGTCGCTTTTTCAGCTGCCTTTGCCGAGAACTGTTTCATGTCACCGCCAATGAATGCTATAAATGGATTAATTCGCTTGGGCAAGGCGATATGTGGTCTGGCCTATGAGTGTGATATCTGTGTGTGTGTGCCGTGAGTCTGAGTGTGTGTGAGTACCGTGTTTGCCGTGTGTATATATTGTGTTTTTTTGAGGTCAAAAGCAAATGTGCTGAAGAAAAAAGTGAAGACACTTGGACTAAAGCGCATAGTGAATGCCCTTTAAGCGTAATTGTGAACCATACTTTATATAAGATCAAAGCGAATTTTGTTGAATATCTCTAGATCCTGTCAGCTTGCATTTTATAAATGAAATTTTAAAATTTTTTATTTTTTTGTTACCTACTATCATAAAGAATGATATTATGCAAATTCTATAACTTCTCTTTAAAATATTTTCTTTTCTACTCAAACAAAATTTGTATATCTAAAACTTAAATGTTTAGAGACTTTCGTATAGCCTTATGATTGCTTCCACTCTATTCTCTCTTTATTCTACATAATAGACACTAGGCTATTGTTATATAGGAATTGTAAATTCCTAAGGCAAGCACATATTTTAATCTAAACATAACAAATATCATATTCATCATATAAATGAATTACTTTTCAACTCTCCATCAATTCTCAAGCTCAACTCTACAGCTGAAACATTCTCCTTGACATTCGCCTTATCAAATCTTTTATATATCACTGCCAACACGTTCTCATAACCAATATACCCCACATGTACTCGATAGGCAGGCAGGCTGGGCGGGCAGCATTGCAGCTGGACAATTCATTGGCATGGAAATCTCTGCTTTTAGTTAATTTTCCGGTTCAAACGTTATCCTGCCGACTAATCCGTGTCGTCGTTCAGTGCGTCCTGCCAGCAGCCAGGCAGCCAGGCACAGGTTGACATTTACATTTTTGGTCAGGACAGACAAAAAAAAGAAGAACAAGAAGAAGAGAGGGCAGCACAAATGAAGCCTCACAGCGGGTCATGTCCTGCAGCCTGCTGGCAGCTACAAACTTTTTTTTTTGTTATAGCTGCTGTTCCCGTGTCACGCTTACATGAGGATTATAGTTTGGGGTTGGCTCACTGCAGGACACTGGCAGCACAGGCAGGATGCGGAGCACAGTTCGAACTGTAGCTTTGATTCGACAGTTGACATATTTCGGGCATGCCCCGGGCCTCTTGAAATATACGGCTAATTTTTTTTTGCGTTGTTATGCGGAGCAGGCGAAGTTGTTTTTTTTTTTTTTTATTGGGGTCATATGCATGTTCAGGGTACAGGGACAGTAAAAATACTTAAAATGTAAATAAAAACAGATTAAATAATATTAATAAATAACATTTTGCTTAACGCAACCAAATAAAATGTACAAAAATATACATCTACATATACATATATATTCTGGTGGCTTGGGCAGTTTGGGCTCGCGGGGCGTATGCGTAATGCGTGTTTCAGTTTTCATTATGTATTCAATGTTCATGTTGTTGCTATGTTTTTTTTTGTTTGTGTGTGTGTGTATAAAATAACAACATTTAAGAAAAGATTTAGGTATAAATACGAGTATATAGTTAGGCATAAAATAAGTTATTTTTCTTGAGGTTGGGCTTGGGGCTCAGCATATTAAAATTGAGGACTGAACGGACTCGAGTGGAAATGAAAAATTATTATTATTATTTTTTTTTTTGGATTTAAGATTAAATATATTTGAATTATTTTCCACTCAAGCGCTGGCAACATGCATCAATAACCCCAATACAGTTACATTTGGTTTATATATACATAGAATTATATATGATTTGAGTATATTTAGATAGTCTAGGGACAGTTTCTAAAGAGGGGTAGAAGGGTAGACACACAAAAAAAGGAAAACAAATAAAAGCTTAAAATATATATATGTATATTTAAATATTTTAGGTAGTATATAGACCATTATGAGTTACAGCTAGCTGGGGCGAGGGAATTTCTCACATAAATCTTGGGAGTTTCTTTTGGTATATAGATTAGAATGTAACTTGATGATATTGGAGGACAAAGTATTTTGTTTTATATGCAATTTAGAGCAGCGCTGCATCGACGAGACAATCGGTTAGTTTTTATGAGAGGCTCTGATACGATAACAACAGAAATAGTTTAAGAAATTTGGAAAATTTGATTTGAGTAAAAATTTGGATAGATTTTGTTGCACTATCAAAGCAAGATTTATAAAAGAAAATAAGGAGGAGACAACGATAGAGAGAATGAGAACTATAATCTAAAGTGTATATGATAAGGTATGCATATAGATATGTATAGAATATATTTAATAATATACACTCATATATTTATGAAACTAATTGCTAATATATAATTAATTAGCTACGGGCTATGAGCACAACCGGGGCCACATTTAACGAGCCATATAATAATAATTACCAAAATTGGCATTTTTATATGCATTTAAAACGTTCAGAGCAGGTGCAACAGCAGAAACCCCAAACACACACACACACAAGCCCATATACATATATATATGTATTCTTTTATATATATAAATTCTTTTTGGCTGAAGCTCATAATCATATTAAGCCTGCGCCCATAAATAAAATTATGCGCTGCTCTGCTTAAATGCGTATGGGCGTGAAAGAGACAGAGAAAGAGACAGAGGCAGAGATAAAACGAGCTGGCAACAAGGCCTCTCTCTCTCTCTCTGTGTGTGTGTGTGTGTGCGTGTTGATGCAATTTCAAAGGACAATTTGATACAATAATCACGTTTGTCGTGCCTGGTCTGGGGCTCGATTGAATTACGCCTAAAATGCTGCAACAATTTTTCACTTTATGCGATATTATGCTGCAATTATGTGTGTCATGTTTGGAGCTGACAATGTGGACGCAGTGGGGGCGGAACAGCCGGCAGAAGGAGCCCTGCTAGAGACTCGACGTTTATGTTGTTGTTGTTGTTGTTGCTGTTGCGCAGCGTCAAATAAATTTTCAGCCAAAAGCAATTAAGTCGCGAATTAAGTGCGGCGCATAGGCAGGACCCCATGGACGAGGCAGGACCAGAGCAAACACACACACAGAGAAAGAGGGCAGCCGCACATGTGTGAGTTGGGCAATCATGAACGTGCGCCCACGTGTGCCTGTGTGCGTGCGTGTGTGTGTGTGTGTGTTTTTGGCTGGCTGACTGCTGCGTGCTCAAAGTTTTAACGCGTTGTAATAAATGTTAATTTTCCCCAACGAAAATCAACATTTATGGCGTGTTTTATGTGCAGCTTCAACATATTTTCCATGTTGTTGAATGCCAATCCCTGTCAGTTGCTGTCTCACTCTCTCTCTCTCTCTCTCTCTCTCTCTCTCCCTCTCTCTCTTTCTCTGTCTGTGTGTGTTTGCGGGATTATGAGCTTGGCACACACACACACACACACACAAACAATGTTTAGTGCTGTGCGTGTGTGCTATTATTTTCTTGCGTAAAGTCAAATTGTTTAAAATGTAATTTTTGGGGCTGTTTTGTTGCATTTCATTTATTTACTTATTGAACATCTTACGTAGATGTGTGCTTAAGTCTCTACTAAACGGCCGAGTATGTATCTAAGCCAAATATTGATTTAGCATCCTCAGCACTTAAACCCACTGGAAACATGTTGCTAAATTCGAAACTTTTCATTTGAATAGTTCCCGAAACTTAATGCACAAATTATGTTGATAGGAAAACTTTGCAATTATTTAAAACTGAAAGTTAGGGCAAACCGAATTAAACACCGCCTAAATGAGTTTTTAATTAAGCATTAAACTCTATATTATGAAATTTATGCACTTGATTAAATTTGAATTACAACTGCAAATTACACACGCAATAATTTTTCCAATTTTAATTCCAAGTGTGGGTTGAATCAAATATCATAATTTATATTATATTTATTTATCAGTTTGTTTGCTCTTTTTTCCCCCTATCTCTGTGGCTGTGTCTGTGTGTGTGATTGTGTGTAAATTTGCAGTTATTTATTTGCTGTTGTGCTTAGGTTTGCATAAAGTTAATTAAATCGTTTACATGCAGCATTAGGTTTTCATCGAATTTTGCTCTCAATAAACACTAGGGCTAATGGGTATATATGGGTATATATGGCTATAGCATGCAGTTAACATTGGGCTAACAGCTGTTGAACAGCATCAGAGTTTCGCAGTCTCTATTCAAAGCAAATTTTCCATGAAAACTTAAATTCTACAAATATTTTTGGCTATATATATATATGTATATTTGTATATATTTTACTAGGAGTGAAAAGAGTACAAAAAATTGTTTGCATACTTTGTGTGTTTGTGAAAGTTTCTTAGTGCGGGTAGTAAAAGTGTTTCGTTTGGTTTATCTTTGTTGAAGCGAAACACAAAATATTATGAATTGCTCTATTAAGCAACAGAGTGACGAAAATTAATAAGTTTTCCAAGAAAAATTTACTTGAATAAGCTGAAATTAATAGCAGAAATTGGAGCAGCTGGCGCAAAAATGAGGAAATATAAAAAAAAATAAAAAAATAAATTTTGCGACTCATAAAGAAAATGCAAAAAAAAAAAAAAAAAAAATTAGCTGCCTCTCTCTCTCTCGCACGTTCCGTCACTTTAAGTGAGTGAGAGAGAGAGAGAGACAGCAATGGTATAGGGTTAGGCTGTGGGTTAGCTGGGGGATTGGTTTGTGGGCTGGGCTGGGCTGGGCGATTAGGATTTTTTCTTTGTATTATTATTGTAATTTTTTTGTTTAAAGAAAGAGAAAGTATAAAAAGTAAATATAGAAATAGCCATACCGCAGCTGCAGCAGCGACAGCGGTGGCGCGTGTTTGGGCCGCTTTTAATTGTGCCTGTAGGTGCAGGGGGGGATGAAAGTAGCGGCAGGGGTCACGTGCGCATCTGCCCTTCACGGCGTCCATGCAAACCGTTATGGAACCATCGTCGTGCCGCGCGACGCTCTCCTGCGGATGCGCGAACCGGCATTCCGACTCGGCCCGTTTGCAGGCGCCGCGCAAGAATTCGCGACAGACCTGGAAACACATTTTTAGGTTTTTTTTGTTTTTTGGATTTTGGTTTTTGGATTTTTTATTTTGTTTTGGATACGGCGTCGTATTTTGGATAATTGTTGTTGTTGTTGTTGAGGTGGTTCATGTTGTTTTTTGTTGTTGTTGTTGTTGTGTTGGTTGCACAGTTGATTGCAGTTTGCGGATTACAGATTGTTTGTTGTAGTAGTTGGTTGTTGTTGTTGTTGGTTGTTGGTTGTTGTTGTTGGCGGGCAGCAATAGCAAAAGTGGCAGCAGTTGTGGTTCAGAGTGTTGATGTGTGTGTGTGTGGTGTGTGTGTGTACAAAAGGCGAGGTGTTGTTGTTTATATTTCGTAATTCAATTTTATTTTTTTTGCACATAGTGTGTGTGTGTGTGGTGTGTGTGGTGTGTGTGTATTGGAAATAATGGAAGGATATTCAGTAACTGTTCAGTTTTTAAATTGTTGTTTTTGTTGTTGTTTACTTGAAAAGTAAAGTTAAGTAGGCGAAACGCAACAACTTTCAATGCATTTTCATTTGATTCATTTTGGGTGTTAGAGCCGATTTGTTGTTGTAGTTGTTGTTGTAATTGGTTTTGCAGCGCATGCTTCCATATGCATGTAGTATATATGTTAGGTATATAGATCGATACATACACATATATATGCTAGGGTTTTTTTTTGGACAGCAGATTTGGCGTGGACTAACTTTCATTTCGGTTCAGTCCGCACCATATTTGGTTATTTTAGAGCGAGCCGATTAGTTTAGTTTTTTGTAAGTTTTGCACTTGAGAACAACAGAGGAACACAATAAACAAAAGTATAAAACAAACAAGGCAAATGCAAGGATTAGGAGTAAACACATTAAAAGCTACAACCTGTAGAGGATCGATAAACAGAACTGGAGTAGATTGTCCTAATGGGAAAGGTATGGAAAAATAAACTAATTCATCTATGGAACTCCATAACTTTAACATTTTCTATAGGAGGAGTAACAAAATCGAACCATATATAAACTAAAGCTAACCTAATCAACGGTCTAAGAAATGTCTAATAACAGATCCATGTAAAGCAATGTTTACTTACATTGCAGTTAACATAAAGCCTAGCTTTAAAAAATGAATATATATTTCAAATAAAATCGAAAACAAAGTTTTGCCCAAGTCAAACCTGGGATCTACTAGATCTAGCTAGCTGAGTTGGAAAAGATCATAAATAAATTAAATTTTATTCATATTTTAAACAAATAAAATTTTAGCTATTCAAAAACTTATGCCAGCTAGGAATAAGAAACAAAAATTATGTATTATTGGTAAAAGGATTTGTGCACAGAATTGTAAATTTATATATTTTATTGTTGGTCTGTTGGTTTTTTCTTGCTTTATATACAAATGCACTGGGAAGATAATATATGTTTTGAAAGCGCTTGCCGTAAGCTTGGCAGGGTAGCAGCTGCTTCTTGAAAGCGCTTCGTTTCTTTGACGTTTAATATAAACAAAAACTGTGCCAGACTTCCGACACCTGAGAGAATTGTTACCGAAACAAAATAAAATAGACACGGTACCATATAGCGTATATAGATATATCATATGTCAAAATCAAAATGAAAAGTATTACATCAGACATAAGAATAAGTAGAACGATCTTCTTTTTTTTGTTAGACAAAAGTTCAAGTCTTCAAATACGAATGTGTGTCAAGTAGATCAAATCAATTTTTATTATCAACGAATTGTTAATGATTATTGTTTCGTTATAATTTCATATAATTATTATTATCTTTTTGGCAGAACTGAAGAGAACTTAAAACGCTGTACATTGTTTTTAGTTGCAATATCTTTGATACATAGTTAAAAATATTAGGTCTTATAAGAAGAAATACATAATAATAATGATAATTGTAACAATAATAAATCATAGTTAAATAAAGAACTCAACAAATTGGCATGCGAATAGAAATTATAATGAAAACAAGTCCAAAGAAAATCGTTTCTCTTGGCATTTTGTTTGTCATTGTGTGTACGAAATTAATACGATAAAACGATAAACGATAAACGATAACCGATAAACGATAAACACAATAAACGTAAGCGTAAATTAAAGCACAATTCACATATAAATGCAATTCATTTCATTGGCCTCTATTGCAGTCGATAGTCAATGAATACAAATCGATAGAAGGCAACAACTGTCACTCACCTCTAATCTGTCGGAGCGTGGAATTTTCTGTTGGGCCACTTGCACGGTCTGTGGCACCACCGGGCCCAGCTGTGAGGCGACGGCCGTCGGATCGGGTCCCAGCAAAGTAGGCACTAAGTGTCCGGTTGCATAGTAAGGACTGTATGTATTGGCTGGTATGCCAGTCAAGTAGGGATTTGCGGCCTGTACATAAAAAAAAGATAAGAGAATCAAATATTTAATACATCATGTCAGTGGCAAACTATCAATCAATCAATCAATCAATCAGATGTTAATCACTCAAAGAACGTCTTATGGAGTCCATTATGGGCTGAATAGAATTGGAATCTTATAAATAGCTTTCAGCAGTATTTAATCTACTAAAGAGAGGCAGCTCTAATCTTGAAAAAAGCTTGAGGATTTTATATTTAATGAGTTGATTTAATATGTAATAATAAACTCTTTTATTATAAGTAGGAGATTTTGGTGTTTCTCCTATTTATGTAATCGTAATCTTCTGTCTTGCTGTACTTCCCTCTATCTACTTGATCACTGTAATATGAAGATGACATTCAAACTTTAATCTTAAGTTGGTTGATTGAAGTTAATTGAGGATGTTCATCTTATATTCATAATGTAGCTTTAGAATATGATAGAACTTAGTTCAAAATAATGATTATGGTTGAGTATTTACAGAACAAATATTGGACTTGATTCAAGATGATTTAATTAAAGCTTCAATACTTTTTATATTCACAGCTGCAGTGCTCAGTAAGAATAATCAGAAGATTAATCCATAAATGAAAATTAGAAGCTTTGTTAAGTTAGCATTTAATTTTAACTAAATATCGTTAAATTATAAATGAGTTCAACTAGAAGACGAGTTAGCAACATTCGATTATGAACTTTCATAAAAAAAATATAATAATCAGGTTTTTCTTTATAACTGAAATTTGTATATTATCAGCGAATCACATACATTTTTCTTTGGTACCTATAGTTCAAAATAGTTTTTCTCTATTTTCACGTTTCACCTCACCGCTAGATTCACTTCAAAATGAACAGCAATTCCTCTAATTTCCACCTTATTCCCACATCATTCCCACGCACGCTTATGATTTACACCAAGTGTTAGTGAATTTTAAATGAGATTTCGTGTCAGGCGGGGCTATCGCAATGGCTTATGACAGCTAAGCGTTTAGTCCACTTAAGTTTTGTAGCACCCGCCCACCTATTGCTGCGGCACGTTAATGAAGCTTCATGCATTTTTTAGCACTCATTTCAGTGTCGAACAACGGCGTTTGCGGCTAATGGTCGCTGGCATTTAGAAGGCCATTTCGAAAGGCAAAAAGAAAAAGCAGCCATGTTTGAAAATAATTTGAGAATTAAATTTCGATTTGTTAGAATATTGCGGCGTAAAAGAGAAAAAGTGGCGAGTGCTGCGGCTGCTTCTGCTGCTGCCCCATTGGCATGAATAATGCATGCGCCCGGGTGAACCGGACAAAAACTGACTCGAATTTCTTCTATAAGTATATTATATGTTCCGTCTCTACGTCTCACCCTCGCCTTGCTCATTTTCGCGCATTCAACATTTTCGGACTGGGGGGACGGACACGATTCTGTGTTATTCAAAGTCATGCAGCAGGGCGCAGGCAAGTGGAAATTGAAGTGGGATATCCGCTTATAAATATTCATATAGCACAAATTTGTTAGTCGCCTGTCGCTCGCTCGCTGGGCCACAGTTTGCCAGCGCTTAGGATATTCAATTAAAGTATTATGCGGCTTTTCGGGCAGCGGGCAGGGGGCAGTGGTCAGGGGGCGTGTACTTACCACGGCTGGCACTTGGCCCGATATGACCTGCTGGCCGGGCGCCATGCCCATTTGTTGCATTAGTGCATTCTTGAGTGCCAGATGATTGCGTCCGTTTATCAACAGCTGATCCTTCAGATGCTGTGGTGGATGAAAGTATTTGCACGGCGGTTTGTCACGATTACAACGACCCTGGAAATAGTCAAAAATTTCTGTTTAGAATTCATGTTTCTAAAATATTTCTAAATTATTTATTTATAATATTTAAAAAATGTGATACACAAAGTTTATAAACAGTTCATGAAATTTCTCTTTCTGTTTAGAATTCATGTTTCTAAAATATTTATAAATTATTTATTTATAATATTTAAAAAATATGATACACAAAGTTTATAAACAGTTCATGAAATTTATCTTACAAATAGAATAATTCTTTTGTTTACATTAACTTTAGTCTGATTGAGACTGTGACGTCATTAATGTTAATGCTTCACGCTTCGCGCATTCTAGCCTAAATTTATGTTAGCGTGTGGCCAACTGCATAAATTATGCGCAACAGTGTTGAATAACGTTTATATAAATTGCCAGTGGAAGGGCTTACCTTAATGTTTTATTTAAGTGTATTTTCAATGTGATTTAATAAATCACGATAAAGCTTTGATCTCTTAAGGTTAATTTATTTCAGAGCTAACATATAAAATAAGCATAAAAGAAAGCACTGAAATAACATTAGAGACCTAATGCCCCATATATGTAGGTGTAATATATAACAGCTTAACACTTTAATATTCAGAGAGAAACTCTGATTTTTCTTCAAATTAATTAAAAATATTAAATATAATATTATATTTAAGGAAATGTATAAAAAATATAAATATAAAGAAAACATATTTTTTTATACATGAATACATAATTTTCTGCTAGCCTCACACTTGAATTAAGAGAAACTCGAATTTTTCCTGATATTTTAATAACATTGTATAAAATCTCAGTGTCCCACAAATACAATGAAACCTTTTAGATATATGTTTGATCCATAACGGAAATCTGATTGATTCAATGCAGTCAAAATGACGCATTGCTGTCGTGCTGTCATGTCATAATTTCGAATATGAAAATTCTCTCACTAAAAAAAAAGGGAGAAAGAAAAACAATTAACTGCACGTAATGTGAAAATGTTGACTGCAGATATGCAATCAAGCTGCACAAAAAAAAAAAAAAAATACCGAACAACAGTAAAAATGGAAAAAAGCCAAACAAACCTCATATTAAATCGATAAAAAGTAATTTCGCATCATTAGCAGGTGTAATTATGGCCACGGATTAAGCCGCCGAATCATCAAGTACCTTTACATACGTTGTGTTTTTTTTTTGTTCCCTTTTTTGTGTTTTTCTGTACTTTTTTGAGTGGTGGCCTAAATGTCAACAATAATTATAATGAGTTCGGACTAATGCCCCAGGGCAGCGGGCTGCATGCAACGTGGCATGTAGAAAAAAGATTTAATACAATTTCAGCGAGTGTACGTGTGTGTGTGTGTGTGTGTGTGCGGCGAATTGGGTGCGCAGACTGTCAAACAAATATGCATGTAAATTATATTTAATTCAGAGCAAATGAAGTTAACAAATATTTACACATGCCCAGGCGAACGGAGCTGCCCCCGCCTACGCCCATGGCCGAGTCCTTTGTCCGCAAAAAAAAGGAGAGGAAAAAGGAAGCGAAAAGCATGCAAAATATTTATATGTATGCATAAATTGATTGTTTGCCTGGGCTCGAAACAGGAGCACGTAGTTCACAATTTTCACTTTTATTTTTTGTTGCTTCTTCTTTTTGTTGGCATTCACAATTTATGACGCAATGAAAGCTCTGCAAGATTTATGGCGTGAACAAAATGAAATACAGAGAGGGAGAAAGACAGAGAGAGAGAAAACTCTCTCCCAGCCGCTAACTTTCATATAATTGTTGTTAAAAAAAAAATTGTTCACTCTGCACACACACACCCACACACACACATAAACAAAATTTTATTCACTGTTGATGTTATTTGGCAAATAACACGAATTGCAAAAATACTTGCACAAATATTTGTTTGCATATTTCTCAATGCCAATTCAGCTTGACAAATGCTGGGCGAATGCATAAAAAAATATGTAGCAGAAACAGAAGGCGGTCGATTGACAATCGATAGACTGGGAGATACCCTGTAGAAAAATGGGTGATATCGATTAGATATATAAATCAATTATATTTGATAAGTAAACTATAAAAATTAAATCAAATTATATTTGAGCTACATACTCTCTTTATAAAAAATAAAAAATAAATTAAAGTATATTTAAATAATACTATATAAAATAATTGATAAACATCTCAGGTATTCCTTACTTGTCCCCTTTCTCTCTCTCTCTCTCACTCTCTCTACCCTCCCAATATTAATCTTTTCAATTCACGCCCTACACTCCCCACCCTAACCCTTTGCCCATGCTGGGTATAAATGGATTTTAAAAGCAATTTTTTATTGTTGCACAAAATAAATTTAATCCAATTTGTGTGCAGTGAATAAAATGCATTTTGATAGTCCAACGGATTTGCTTTAGTCTATTATAGCGCCGTTGGCATTACAATAAAATTACTGGCTGCTGAACAAGTGGAAGCTGAAAGAAATATTGGTTGCCAATTAATTAGCTCAATTATTTGTCGCACACAAAACCTGAAATGTTTGTGAGCCAAACAATAATTTGCATGCAATTTGTTGCTGCCGATGATTTGCAATTTTGATCAATACACAAAATATTTATTGACGCCAAACAAACAAATTTCTTTGCACATCAATTTACGAGCTGCGACTCGTGCAGCAACAGCAACAGCAGCAGCAGCAGCAGCAACAGCAGCCTGAAAGCAGGCAACATGCGGGCTGGCTTCAAAGGCAATGGCGAAAACCCGTTCGCTGCCTCGCTCAGGCACTTTTGGATTATTTGTTTGTGCTTATTGGCGCCATTGGCTGTAATTTAATGCTTCGATTGAGTTTATTCAACAACAGCAACGGCAGCACTTACAGTTCCAGTCGCAGCAGCAGCAACAGATTCAATGATGGCAAACCAGTCGCATCTGTGTCTGTCTATCTCTCTATCCCACTCCACCGCTCTCTCCCTCTCTCTCTCTATCACTATCTCTAACACCCTCTTTTTACCAGTTTGTCACTTGGTTTTAAATGCTTTTACAAGCTGTCTATAAAACGCGGCTGCTCCCCTTGCATTCACAGGCGCTGCTCTAATTTCCAATAATTAAATACAAATGTGATTTTTTAGTGTGCTACTTGCCACTTGGCAGTTGCACAGTTGCCAGTTGCACAGCTGGTGGCACTGTTACTTGTTGCCATCGCTTGTGTTGGCATGCCTCGTATCTGGGTTAATTGCAGCTGATTGGCAGGCAACCGTTGCCATGAAGCGTCGACCATGCGATTCAGCCCGATTTGGTTGCGAGTCGATAAAATAGGTCAATTCACTACCTAAATGTGCAGGCAACATACTTTGTTTAAATGTTCAATTTGATGACTAAATCGATGCAGTGCTTATGCAGCTAACTAAAGTGAGCTAGAGTGTGTATGAGTATATCAATTATGAAACTCTTTAGGGACAAGGTTCTTTAGAAATGGTTGTGAATAGAGTAAAAAGGAAAACTAGAATCCAGTTACACTCACTTTGTAATAAAAACCTAAATTTTTAGGGTTTTAAATTTTTTGCTGAAAAGAAATCAGTATGAAACGAAACACAGCAAAATAATATTAAAAAAAAAAATTATATATGATAAAAAAAGAAAATAAATATAAAATAAAATTAAATAAATGAAATAAAAATATGTATATAATAAATAAACAAATATAATAAATAGATAAATATATAAGAAAATAAATAAAATTATATAAACAAATAGAAAAAAAACTAACAATTTGAAATAAAAAATAAAATTTTAAAATAATATAAAATAAAATATTATAATAATAATAAAATATGCAGAAAATAAAATAAAAAAGATAAATAAATAAATGGAAAAAATAAATTAAATAAAAACATAAGTAAATTAAAAAATATAAATTATATATAAAAATAATATTATTTTATAAATAATAAGGAAAATTTAATTTTTAATAGATATTGATAATATCATAAAAAAATATCTTCATAAATTATATTTTAAAATAAAATATTTAATTGCATTATTAAATTGTAAAAAATATGGTTAATAAAGTCACAGTCCTAGCTTGAACCGCAAGAATAAAATATTCGAAAGAATTTCAGCAACATATTTGTAGTAAGCATTAGGAGCAGCATCAACTATTCAGACTTCAATGTCAAGCTCACTTTTACTAATTGAGCTGGCATCTCTTCATAAACGTGCATAAATACACTAATTTGCAGCACTGTTTTCAACACTGCAACACAAATAAACTGAAATTGTTGAGAATTATGGCAACTAGCTCCGACTGCATACATATACTCGTATATGTGTATTCGTGTTAGTTATTTTCAATGTCACTTGGCAAATATTTAAATTGCATTTGGCATTGCAATCAAATAAGATATTATTCTTGCTCAGGCGAGACAGAGACACCACCAGCTCGAGGGACTTGCTCACGTTCTTGGCTCTAATGGCGACGTGGCAGACATTATCTCAAATGGCAAGTGGAGCTTGTCATGTGTGTGCGCCGCCTCGCAGCAGGGGGCGTGAAGGGGGCTGGGCGTGCAGGCCAATTTCTTGTTGGCTCAATGTGCCACACATTTAGCTAGCCGATTGCTCTCTTCAGTTCTGTTCTGCTGCTGCTGCTGCTGCTGCTGCTGCGGCTGCTTCTATTTCCACTTTTACTCCTGCTCAGATTTCTTTCTCTTCTTTTTTTTACTCCCAGTGCCAGACCAAACATTTTCATGTCATTTCGATTGTAATCTGCATGACTGGCTCCCTCCACGCGGCCGAGACAAAAAAAGAGTAGAGAAAGATTTTTAAAATGCTCCAAAACGAAGCAAGGAAAAACGAGTGTGAAAATTGCAAATGGTGTCCACTCACGCACACAGAGCGAACGAGTGAGTGCTGGAAAGAGACGTGCAGATAGACGGACAGCCGGACGGGTGGACAGGCGGACAGCCGAGCAGGCAGACAGTCGGACAGTTGGACAGCCGGACAGCCGTACAGTGAGACG